TGTTCCCTAAGATATAATTACTATTTTATTTTATTTCCATAAATAAAACCTACGGAATTACCATAAATGACTAATATATATATATGACACTTAATGATTCTATTAATAAATATTTGATAACAGTTTATATATCCTCCATCATTTTTCTTTAATTTTATATTATTAAAATAAATTAAACAATCAAATTAGCTATAAAATTGAACTTTAGATTTTTTCGTATAGGTTATATTTTGAATTTTAAGAAACGAAAATAAATAACTAAACTATTAAAATTATTATGTTAAAAATTAATGATCAATAGTTTAACATTTTATTATAAAAACATATACATGATTTTAAAACCATATAAGTAAAAAGTATCATTCAATAATAAAACAAATATATATATATATATATACAGATTAAACTATATACCATATAACATTACATAAATATTTTAATTTCAAAATTTTCAATAAATTTTCAAGAAAATTTATAAATTATAAACTTATTAAATTTTTTTTTATCAATGATTTAAATATCTTAGTTCTTTTTTTAATTTTATATTTTTAAAAGATATTAACAATCGATAATATGGCTATTTTTGGTATATACCATACAAACCGAATGGATGTGATTTTATAAAAACCATAGTATTTAGATATGGTTTGATTTATAATCGATTAAACTGAAACATGTAAATATGTATATATTTATAACGACGCATGAATATCTATTTGTTTCATGAGTTGAACTNGATGTGATTTTATAAAAACCATAGTATTTAGATATGGTTTGATTTATAATCGATTAAACTGAAACATGTAAATATGTATATATTTATAACGACGCATGAATATCTATTTGTTTCATGAGTTGAACTATAATTATAATTTGTAAATAGCTAACAATTTATTACAACTAAGACTTCTTATTTTGATCTTTTGCTTTTTTAATAGTAACTAAATTGAAGTAAAGATTATAAATTTGATGGACAACAATTAGTTGAAATTATTTACAATTTTTTTTATCTTTAAACAAACAGAGTTGTGTTCAATCGAAGACATATTGGTTTGATGAACACTAAATATGGAAGAATATAAAAACTTTTCTTTCATGCTTCTGTTTTGTTTTTTTATTTTTATTTTCAAAATTTAGTGTTTTGATATTAATTCTAGATTTGATCATTTTATTAGATGATAGAAGCTTTTTTTGTTTTTTATTCTTTTATTTAAATATATAATATTTTTTTAATAAATGACTCTATGACAATATGACTCTAAATATGATCATATTATATATTATGTTTTTGGTATAAAGTTGAATAAAATGAAAACCGATGGTATATAAACCAAATCAAACTAAAGTACATATAGATTTAGAATAGTAGTTATATTTTAATGATCGAAATACCAAAAAAACGAGCCGAACCGAAACTCGATATCCGGATTGAACACCTCTAATCCGAATGAAACCGAACTATTGTTTCATTTTTAAAAACATAATAAAAATAATAGCTTCATCCCGTGCAAGGTGCGGGTCTTTTGTATTAGATTGAATGGTTATCGTGATAACCACAACAAGAGAGTAATTTGATAATTTCATGTTACAGGCTTCATATTTGATAACCGGTTTACCTTTGATTTTTAAACCAGACCATCTATTGGATTTACTTTTTAAAAAATTGGAAGAAAAGAAAATTAAGAGTAATAAATAATAATTTTCGTCGAGTTCTGATGAGCTGTATTCACAGCCGTCGGATAACACGCGGCTGATCTGAAGCGTCTCTGCAAAAAAATATTCAAAAGCAGTTTCCATCGACGATACAAAACACGACCAATCTCCACACGGTTCTGTAACGCTATTTCTTAATTTTTCTAACTTCCAAGGTGCGTTTTTTTTTTCTTTCGAATTTATATGATCTGGTTGAGAAATGATGAGATGCTCTCCGTTGCTCGAAATTGATATGTACTTTCTTTTTGCTTGATTTGATTGAGAATTGAAAAAAAAAAAGAGAGTAGTGGATCTGATGTATCGGAAGTTACTGGTTGAAGCTATTTTGACCAGAGAGATCAGAGAGATGAACTATTTTCACGTTGATTTGTATACATAGATGAATCTTGTCAATACGTTAGTATGTATTAGGGTTTTATTGAGCTTGGAACTTGCACCTGAATGAATTTTAAGCTTTTGTGTATTAAGTTAATTTATCAATTGATTTGTGGTTTGCAGATACAAGTTGTATCAGTTAATTGCTGTGAGATATAAGGTGCAATGGCGAGGATAAAACCTCAGGCTCTTCTTAATCAAAGCAAGAAGAAGAAGGGTCCTAGTCGTATTAGTATTTCTACAATTGTCGTTTGTAATCTTGTAGTTGCTGTAGTTGTACTTTCCTTGGTTACTACTTATCGTCATTGGTCCCAGAGGTTATGTTTCTTTCTTTCTTTCCATCTTTGTTTTTCTTTTAAATTATATATTAATGTTTAACAGGATCTTGGTTATTTCTCAGGTCAAGAAACACACTTGAAACCCAGAGTCATAAATTTGAGGTAATGTGTTTAGTTTTTTTTTTTTTCAATCCTCAGTGTTTTGATTTTGATGAACTTCTGAGCACTTTGTGTGTTTGTGTTTCAGGATACAAATGCTGTATCACAACAAAAGAATTACGATCTTCCTGGTTATGCTGTAAGTTAATCTGTCTCCCTGTATATTTGCTTAAGTTTCTTGTTTAATGACTGTTCTTATATCTCTGCTTGGTTTTATGTCTTTTCTTTGGATATACAAATTTCAATGATATCTTGTTTTTATCTTCTTAGGATATAAGCACACCAAAAGGTCTTATAACAGTGGAACTCTTTAAAGATGCTTCCCCTGAAGCTGTCGACAAGTTTCTAGATCTATGGTTAGTATATCATAATTCTTTTTATTCTCTTTCGAGCTAGATATAAAGGAAATGCATATGAACTTGAGTAAGCTAAGTCATGAATTGTTCTTAAGTAGGAAGATTAGTTTCATGTAACTTCGGTTTCTTCTTTGAGAATGTTTAAACCTGTAAGTCCTATCGTACTCTTAATTGGAACACTAAACACACACAAAAGAGAACCAGGCTTAATCAGTATGTGACACTAGTCTAGCTTTATTCTTTGGTAGACGTAATAATATACTTCTACGTATTATTCTTGTAGTAAAAATGATCACTTTAAGGGAATGCCGTTTCACCGGGTTATAAAAAACTACTTGGTACAAGCTGGTCACTCTTCGAGTTCTATACCTGTAGAAGAATGGACAGCTAAAGCAAAGCTCCGTGGTCGCCTTGACATAAGGTAGTTTTTTGCTTTTAAGAGTTATAAATTTCCTCATCTCTCGTTAGTCTAAGATCAAAACTAAACCCGTGTGGTGTGTTATTCAGCCCAAAACATGAGGCATTCATGTTGGGAACACCAAAAAACAAAGGGAACAACAAGGACTTCGAGCTTCTGATCACAACAGCGCCAATCCCGGATCTGAATGATCAGCTTATAGTGTTTGGAAGAGTTCTTAAGGGAGAGGATGTAGTTCAGGTTTAATCAACAACAAACACACACTTATCTGTTCAGCTTTTATGGTTTGTTTCGTTTAGTTCATGTGTTTAAACTGTGAAGTCATGTTATTATTACAGGAGATTGAGGAAGTGGATACAGATGAGCATTTCCAACCGAAGTCGCAGATAGGGATCATTAGCATTGTACTTAAACGAGAATTATGAAATTAAAATCTCTCTTCTTTATTACCTCACGCCAAATCTTCATAACTCGCTGTTTGTCTAAATCTTTTTTTTTAATCTCATTTTCCTGTTGTTTTGTAATTTTAATTGTTCCTTATCGAGGAAATAGCATATTTGTTTAAGTTAACATAGTTGGCTGTTCCTGAATGTATGTAAATCTTCATAAGCAGATCGTCTTCAATACAACACCAATAGATTATAACCAGTTATTACGTATCTGCCATTTAACTAAATGAAACTATTGACTTTAACATAGTTATTTTGATCCCTCATTAGAGACATGAGAATTGAATAGACGAACTAATATTAAACAAGAAAACGCAAAAGTGGATTTCAAGTGTCCCACAACGACAAGTCACAAATCGACCTTCCGAGGAAAAACGAGTCTCTCTGAGGCTCACTAATAAACAAAATTAGCAACTCAGCTGATGCATGGAAACGGTAAAAAAAGTTATTCAGTCACCAGGTCATTTAGTGGCTCTTTCTAGTTCTGCTCACGTGAGAGCCCTGATCTGTAAGGAACTTGAGGACATCGATTAGGGATCTAAGTCGGTCCCAGATGTTGAGTCCATAAAGGGTTTCAACTAGTGCCTCCTGGAATTCAAATGCGTTTTCTGCTACCGGGTACTGTGATTTTGACCATAATGAGAATTGTTATTAACGGATATCTAAGGATTATCAAGATTGGATTTAAAATCTAAGAAGAGCTTGCCTGAATAGGTTTTGGAATCTTGGTTTTGATGAGTGGCCAAAACCTATCCTCGACCACGGATTTCACAAGGCAGCAAGCTCTTAAACCTTCTATGCCAGCAAACCTTCCAAACCCACTATCCTTTACACCTCCAAACGGGAGCGACTGCAACAATTAAAAGAGGAAGACGTCTTGCTCTTAATCAAGGAAATGAAAGTTGAAATCCCCTAGACTATGGCTAGTGATGAGTACCTGGCACATGTAGTTTGATGCAAAGTCATTGATTGCAGCAACGCCGCACTGAATTTGAGAGGCAATTTGTTTGGCCCGACGCTGGCTTCCTGAAAAAACTGCACAGCCGAGCGCATAACGTGAATCATTCGCTAGCTTGATGACCTCATCATCGGTGCTGAATTGCATGATCGGCATTATTGGTCCAAAGGCCTGATTCTCACACATTAATAAACATCTTAGCAAATTGTGTGTGTGCATTGGGTGATGCACCACCAACATATAACAGAAGCAAGTAGTCTTCGAACTTCGAGCCAATGTGTGTAAGGTTACGTACCTCTTCTTTCATTATTTTCATGGTGTGGTTTACATTGATAAGAACAGTTGGAGGAAAATACTGATCGACTGCATCCTCACCCAGATGACCAAAGCTTCCACGAACGGCAATTTCTGCTCCTTTGTCTAAGGCGTCATTTACTAGGCTCTGTAGGTGTTCAGAGTGCTCTTGCAAACATATAGCGCCCATGTCGTACCTCCCAGTTAAAGGAGGACCCTGATGTAAAAGAAGGATTTTAACAAGTTAGAAGGAGAAAATATGAGAAACAGAAGACTAAACGTTGCTGGAAACAAGAAAACAGAGAACAGTGCACTTACAGCAGAAACGGACTTCACAATCTTGGTAACTTGAGTAATGAATGCAGTATATATGTCTTTGTGAACATAAAATCTTTCAGCACCCGCACAGTTTTGCCCGCTGGACTGAAGAGTGCCCCTTACAGCCACTTGTGCAACCTACATTGAACAATGGAAGTGTAAGTTTTATCAAAGGAAAACCCTCGTTTCCAATAGTAAACAATAAGAAATCACAAGAAAGCATGATGATACAGAAAAACCACTTACGTGGGAGACATCGGCGTCTTCACATATGATAAACGCATCTTTTCCACCAAGCTCAAGAGTGACAGGTGTCAATGTCTCAGCCGCATTTCTCATTATCTGTAATTACTGAATAATTACAACTCATAGTAAATGGATGAGAATGACGAAGAAAGGCTCTAGAGTGTACCATCTTGCCAACAGCTGTAGATCCAACAAATATCATTTTATCAACAGATGAGACAAGTGCTTCTCCGGTCTCCGCAAACCTGAAATTAATGTGTTATTTTGAGGAAAACAAATTGATAACAACAAGCTAAAGGGAGTTAAAATATACAGACCCTGTTATCACATCGACTAGATTTTCAGGTGCTCCAACAGCAGCTAAAGCTGCTTGAATAATGCGGAAGTAAAAGCATCCCGACCAGCTAGCGTGCTCTGAAACCTGCAGAAAAGGTGTTCCAGATATCATAAATGCATACAAAACCTCAAAATAAAGAAATATGCAATGAAAACTAAGCAATTTCCTCTCAATGGTTGCACTACCCAGGATGTCGACATCATATTAACAATAACATGTAAGCCAATTGAGATTTGATGAATAACATTATCTTTGAAAAGATAAAATCATAAAGGGACAGGGAATTATAGTGATATAAAAGGCATTACGGCAATACCTTAATAACAATACCATTCCCTGAGAAGACTGCAGCCAGCATAGGGTTGAAGATATTGTGGAACGGATAATTCCATGGGACTATAGCTCCGATGACACCAAGGGGATGGAACTCTACTCTTGAGACTTTATGAAGCATAGCTCTTCCTGAAGACCTGCGAAAAAATTAAGATTTAAATTGACACCATAGTTATGCAAGATCAAAGAAGATATTCTATTATGGAAATACCGATATTCAGGCTTTAACCATCGTTCCCCCTCGGAAAGAAGCCAAGTGATTTTCTCACAAGTAGTCATGATCTCGCCCAAGGACGCATCAACCATAGTCTTTCCAGTATCACGTGACGAGACTCTAAACAAAAACGAGACTATCTTAGCATCAAACGAGGAAAATGTATAGATGTTATCATGTTAAAGAAATCCTGTATAAGAAACCACTAAGTAGCTCAGAAATGAATCCTTACTCGCATATAAGCTCTTGGTGTTCAATAATGTACTTGAGAAGAATCCGCAAGAACTGCCTTCTCACCTTGAAGCTACTTTGAGCCCATGTTTTCTGAGCCTTCCTTGCTAGTGTCACTCGCTCCTTAACCTGAACACACAAAAATGTCAATCCTATCTCAGGATAAGAGAAACCTTTGAGCTACATTTCTCTTAAAACTATAACTTCAGAAAAAGGAAAGAGGCTACAAACCTCAGAAGTAGAGAGAGCAGGGAAATATCCAAGATACTTCATCGTGGCAGGTTCATAGCATTGAACTTTTTTGTCAGACTGTTGGCTCCGTCCTCTTGGAGGAATCTAAAGATCAAGTCACAAAGAAACTCTTATTCAGTGTGCTTATCAACAACAATTAATTAGTTATCAATTATCATCATAATATAAAATCCGCTTGGATTTACAAATATGGAAACCAAAATTCATTTCATAATATACAGAGATGAAATCTACATTAACATTACAATATCTAAGTCCTAAACAGCTCAACAGCTTAAATCTCTTATCACTCAACGATTTCAACAGCAATATAAGGAAGAACTCACATAGATGAAGCTATTCTCCTCCGTTTCTTTCCCATGCGCCAACACTGTTCCAAAAAAAAAATCAATTCCGAAAATCGATAAATCAAACATCGATAACAAGCAAAGCTATAAACGGAAGTTAGGAGACGGTACAGAGATAGAGGAATAGTTTACCATCGGATGCGTCTACGTCAATGGAGGGAACGTTGGGAGGAATGAGCATAAGAAGGAATCTGCAGATCGCGTAAGCGAAGGCGAGAACGATCAGCGGCCACCAGAACGCCATTTCGTCTTCAGAGATTCTTCAATCAAGAGAGCTAACGCCGATGAAGAAGGATGAATCTCGGCGTCTCCGTCAATCGGAAATAAGATTTTTAATATTCTCAGCTTTGAATCGCCTTTTTGTTGTTTCTGAGTCCACTGGAACTGTGAGAATGGCACGTTTGTAATATTTGGCAACTTCAAGGCTAGTTCGAGAGAGGAATGGATTAAATTGAAAAATAAATAAAGTATTGCGTCATTAAAACGAGCATCCACGTTGAAGCTACACGCCAAGAACGTGTACACCAAAGACAAACTTCTACTCGCTGTATATATTTGCGTTTGTTAAACCGAGGTTAAACCAACATTTTAAACCGGCTGGTTCAGATCATATTGTATCATATCCAAAGTACGAACCTAAAAATTTGGTTTCTTCTAGTTACTGTTAGAAACCTAAGCATTGCTAAAGAGTAAAGACACATTTTGATTCGTTCTATCGACAAAAGAGTCTCTTCGTTTGTCATATACTCTATGGATTATATCGGCTGCTCTATTTCTTCTTCAGTCAAATTGTCAAGTATTTCACCCACCAAGTACCGTTCATTGAAGACCAGTTGGTGAACGTAGATGATGAAATCACGTGTTATCCTGGCAATGACCCAAACCGCTACCAAGGCTAACAACGAAGGCCATATAAGCCGCTCAGCAGTTGAAGTGACGCTTTCTGAAAAGCCAAGCAACGGAAACAAAAGCTTCACGAGCAGGTAAGGGACGGAGAGTGTGGTTAAAAGTGTGTTTATGATGGAGCCAATCACGTCTCGAAGCAGCCACGTTGAAGGAAGTCTATTAACTCCCGCGTTGCTGATTATTTCCAACTTTCTTAGCCATGCCTCAGTTGCTAACCAGTTGATACGCGTGAGCATTGTCTGCGAAAAAAAAAGGAGAAAGAGATACATTACTTGATCTGCAAGAAAGACGAGTCTTTTTTGAAATTCTTTTATCTTACCAGAAAGACCCATATGTGAAGCACAACTACTCCGATCAGCCAATCTTGGATCAAGAAATGGACCGGTGATTCATTTAGTGGCACTCGTAATGGGATGATGATCATAAGTTCGATGAGTAGACCGAGCAACACAGGTATGACAGAGATCTGTTCACCGGATTTTGCAAGTTAGAAGTCATTAATTTCAACAACAAAAAAAAGGTGAAAATGGAAAGGTTAGTTTTACCCATATGGAGAAAAGCAACCCATTTCGTATCCACATGCAGACATCTTTGAGAAGCAAATCGAATCTTCCCTTCTGAATTTGATCGGATACAAAGCAAGTAGCGGTATAGGTTTGTCCAATGATAATATATCCAATCCAAAAAGCAAGAAGATCTACAAAAAAAGCACAAGATTCACAAAGAGTGACATATTGACATGTAAATAAGAAAAAGTAGGTCTAATAAGAAACACACCGTCACGTTTGAGTCCAATTCTTAGCATGATGAAAGAGATAGACTCAAGGAATCCTCTCCCCAGAAAAATAGGTAAAGCCATGAAAGCTGTACTAACGACGAACATACTCACAGCCGCTAGCACAACCATCAATGCAATCCTCAGCAGAAACCTTGTAATGCAACTTGTCAGAACACTATTAAATTAAAAGCTTGTCTGTATAAGTCAATCACCTGTTATCTCTTTGGTCATTAGTATCGTCTTCAGCCTTCTGAGATCCATTCAAAATCACCAAAGAGCCTTCAGCTATAGAAAACAATAGAAGCCACGGCCTTCTTGGTCTCATATTTTGATCAGCACGGTGTAAGTCCTCTCGTCGGCGCACAACCAGAAAGAAATCGCTCAGATCAAGCCAAGAACTAACAGTGATAATCCACTTCTGAACTAGGAGTTCCATAGCTGGTTTGACAAGTTTGAATAACCATTTTGGGGAGGACGTCAGTAGCTGGAAATAGATTGCGTGTGCAGCAGCAGAAAGGTTTTCGTCAGCCATCCTGTGTTGTGTTCAAAGTACAAAGAAGTTAGAAATGGTATAAGGTAAGGTTCAGAGGGAAGCAAATGCAGCAAAGCTTACCATAACTCAAGAGGGAAAAAGGATGGGCTGATAAGTGAAATTGCTCTAATCGGTAAGTGAAACAAAAACACCAACAATACCCCATGAGAAGCAAGCGCAAAGAAAGTGTGACAGAAATTCAATTTGGTGATCTGGTAGTTTGGATCCGTGACATCTAAGAGATACCAAATTGCTCGTTTATGAACAATCTGCCAAAAGAAGAAGAAGAAAATGAGGTAAAAACCTAATAAAAGAATAAGGTTTCCCTGTGAATGAAACAAAAATCTAAACCCATTACCTGCTGAATACGGTGCATGCAAGACTCAGCAATCACCAAGCAAACGATTCCAGAAGACCAACGTATGAACATCATGAATGGCAAGTGTGAAACTGCCTCGAAACTCTCGGAAAATATGGTTCCAAACAAAGGGGAGGTGCAGATTCCGAGCCAGTAGCCAATTAACCAAGGCAGAACACCGATTTTAAAACAAAAGACGGAAACTTCCTTAACGACAACTAGGATTTGGAAAGCCACTACTGAGGAAACCCACAAGAAACGTGGCAATGTCACTGTTATGAAGTGAAATCCTAGAGAAAACCACTGGAATATGTCTGGAAGTGAGGCTTTACGGATTCCAAAGCTCACAAGACATTGCATGCTTTTGCAGGCCATTGCTGAGGAAGCCCACAAAAAACTCGGCAATATCACTGTTATGAAGTGAAATCCTAGAGATAACCACTGGAGTATGGCTGTAAGTGAGGCTTGACGGATTCCAAAACCCACAAGACTTTGCATGCTTTTGCAAGCCATTGCTGAGGAAACCCACAAGAAACTCGGCAATATCACTGTTATGAAGTGAAATCCTAGAGAAAACCACTGGAATATGTCTGGAAGTGAGGCTTGACTGATTCCAAAACCCACAAGACTTTTCATGCTTTTGCAGGATTTTACTGAGAAACCCCACAAGAGACATGGCAACTTCATTGCTACGAAGTGAACCCCCAGAGAAAGCCACCCAACCATGACTGGAAACAAGTTCTGATGGAGAGTGAAGAGGAATCCAATGTAAGCCAAGCAAACTGAAAGCATCATCATGTATCCAAGAATAACATCCGAGTAACCAGAAAAATAGCTGCCTCCTACAGTTGCTAACACAATCCTTCCAATCCAAACTGGCAGAAGAACGAAGATGATAGACACATATACACTTATGGCAAGAAGCTGTACATGTCAAACACAACTTGTTACTAAACAATCTTCCTTGTAGTAACTAAATTAGCTAGGATATATCAAGAAAGAGAATAGATGAACTTACAGCAAAGGCATCATCATCCAGAAAGAAAAGCAGCCGTCTGATAACCCCAAACTCATGAAGCGGCGCCTCTGGAGGAAGAAAGATAAGCCGAGGAGGTTGCCCCAAGAATTGTATGAGTTTATGAAAATACCAATCACAAAGGATCTTCATATACTTCCAAAAGAACTGCACAAATCCACCATTCCCAATAAACCTCATGAGATAGACATCTCCAACCTCCAACCTTATAACAGCGATAACAGTCATCGAACACACGATAATAGCGCTGTATAAAAGGCCAGTGGAGATATAAGCGAGCTTGCGAGACATGGAGAGATCATCCTCCTCGAACTCAGGAACAAATCCTTGGCTCCAAGGGTGTAAAGAAACAAAGTAACTGTTCAATAGAATCAACACAATCCAAGGAACAATCATCTTCAAGTAACGTCCTATTCTTGATAAGACTCCAAGTAGAAACTCGTAACAAGAAAGCCTCTCCGGAGCGTTCTCGGAGTAAACGGGAACAAACGAGTAGCTACGCCCACACACCTGCAACGGAATCACAACGATCAGAAACCACACAATACGACAAACAAACAAAGGACGAATCGGAATCGGAATCGCTAAAACCCTAACGAGTTATAACCTCGCATTTGTTGTTTCCGCGGCGATTGAGCCAGGTACGGAGGCAATCTTGGTGGACGAACTTGATCGAGCCTCGGCAGGAGCATGGATACCTTAACGGATTTTCTGGTTTCTCCGGTGATCGGCAAATCCGGCACAGGTCTTCGTCTTCTTCTTCTTCTTCTGCGGAGAAACTCTTATCGTAGTCATCGACTTCCGGCGAAACGTCCATTTTAGGAAAGGCAAAGCTCGTCACTGTGTGTATTTCCCTGAAGCGGCAAACGCGTATTGAGCTTAAAACCAAGTAATAAATTTATAATTAAATAAAAAGTTTTTAAATAATAATAATTACCAGAATTGGTGAGATTACTTGATGACGATTCCTCTCTGCTACTTTTTGACAGGTACAGAGTCTAAGCAGAGACGAGAGTGGTGACTTTCTGCGTTGCTTCCTATCAATTTTACTAGGGGAAAAGTTAAAATTACTGCTGTAAAATAAATATTTTTTAGATATAAACAAATAAATTCAAGATATTCATGAAATACTTTTGCGTGTATATCAAACTTTTTTGTTTTCAAATATTTGAAATTTGTTGGAGAAACTAAGGATAGAGACGCTCTCTAAACTTTTAAATTAGTTAAGTAAATACATGAGATGTTAGTTAGATAGAGATATAGACTCATCGCATGATTCATTTACTTTATAACAGTTATCTCATTCAAAGGTAAGACAACATCTACCTCATTAGAAACCTAACCATTGTTAAAGATATTAACATATTTTGATTCGTTCTATCAACAAAAAGAGTCCTTGTTTGTCATATACTCCATGGATTACCAATCTTCAGTCAAATCCCTCACTCTTTCACCCACCATATACCTTTCATTGAAGATCAACTGGTGCAAGTAGACAATGATCTCAAGTGTTAGCTTGGTCATGAACCAGATCACGATCAAGCCTAATGATGCTGGCCAAATAAACCGCTCAGTAGCTGCAACGACTGTTTGTGAAAACCCAAGCAACGGGAGCAGAGACTTCACGAGCACGTAAGGGATGGAGAGTGTGGTTAGAAGCGTGTTTATGATGGAACCAATCACATCTCGAAGCAGCCACATTGAAGGAACCCTTTTGAGTCCCACGTTCCTGATTCTCTCGAACTTCCTTCGCCATGCCTTGGTTGCAAAACACTTGATAGGCGTGAGCATTGTCTACAAGACCACCATAAGAGAAAGCAAATATATTAGTTGTTCTGCAAGACACCTGAGTCTTTCTTAAAACCCTTTTGGTGTTTTATCTTACCAGAAAGGTCCAGATGTGAACCACCACTACTCCTATCAACCAATCTTGGATCAAGAAATAGAGTGGTGTTTCGTTTGGTGGCACTCGTAATGGGATGATGATCATAAGGTCGATAAGTAGGCCAAGCAATCCCGGTATGATAAAGATCTGTTCAGCAGAGTCATTAGAAAGTCATAATATCTAAAGAGGCTCTGATGAAAGTAGAAGGATCTTCTTACCCAGATGGAGAAAAACAGAGCCTTTCTTATTCGTATCAAGATATATTTGACAAGGAAATCAGTTCTTCCCGCCAAAATATGATCAAATGAAAAGCAAAGGCTGATATAGATTGCTCGAAGGATATAACATCCAATCCAAAAAGCACAAAGATCTACAATCACGTGCAAAGATAGGCTCAAAAGTCAAAACTTCATAATCATATATACGAAATTGGTTTAAATAAAGCAAGAAACTAGAGCAAACCATCATGTTTGATTCCAAATCTTCGCAGGATGAAGGAGATAGAGTAAGAGAATACTCTTCCAACCAAAATTGGCAAAGACATAAAGGCTGTGCTAACGAGAAACAAATTCAAAGCAGCTAGAAACAACATTATAGCAATCCTCGTCCGATACCTAAAAGTGCAACTTATCAGAACTTTTCAATAACTTCATTAAAAGCTTTTGTATATATCAGTTAAATTACCTGCTATGTCTTTGCTCTTTGATATCGTCTTCATCATTCTGTGATTTATAAACAGTGACGATAGAGCCTTCAGCTAAGCTATACAATAGAACCCAAGGGTCATCATCATAAGGCATTCTTGGTGGCATCACATTCTCGTCGGCACGGTGAAAGTCCTCTCCTCGGGGCACTACTAACAACAAGTCACTCAGCTGAAGCCAAGAACTAACAGTGATAATCCACTTGTCAAGTATGAGTTCGATAGCTGGTTTGGTAAGTGTGATTAACCATCTGGGCCCCGCATGCATTAGATTGAAATAAATTGCGCATGCAGCACCAAAATAAGGACTTTCATCGGTGTCCCTGCGTTTTGTTCAATGTACAATTTAGTTAGCACTTAGCAACGATGTAAGGCAAGGTTCAGAAGGAAGTAAAGGACCAAGCTTACCATAACTCAAGAGGGAAAAACGATGGGATGATAAGTGTAATTGCTTTAATGGGTAAGCGAAACAAAATCACCAATAATACCCCATGAAAAGCAAACACAAATAAAATGTGTCGAAGATTCAGTTTGGTGATCTTGTATTCTGGATCGGTGACATCTAAGAGATACCAAAAGGCTCGTTTATGGATGATCTGTCAAAGAAGAAGAAGAAAATGATGAAAATCTGATAAAAGAAAATAAGGCTTCCATTGGGATAAAACCAAAATTTTAAACTATTACCTTTTGGATATGTTCCATGAAAGTGACAGCAATCATCAAGCAAGAGAGTCCCAAAAGCCAGCGAAAGGCCATCGTCATGCATGGGTTGTGTGCAAAAATCTCAAATATCTGAAAACTCCTGGTTCCAAACATAGGGGAGGTGCAGATTTCGAGGAACCAACCAACAATCCAAGGCAGAGCAGAAATTTTTAATATCAAGACAAAAGCATCCTTGATGAGTAATATGTTTTTGCAGGCCTTTACTAAGAAAGCCAACAAGTGACATGGCAATGTCACTGTTATGAAGTGAAACCGCAGCAAAAGCCATCGAACTATGACTGCCAGTGAGCATTGATGGAGAATGTAAAGGATTCCAAAGTAAGCCAAGCGAATTGACAGCATCAGCTGCACCATCAAGTATCCAACAACAAGAGGCGGTTTTCCAGACAAATAGCTGCTTCCAACAGTTGTTGATACAACCCATCCAGCTGAAAATGGCAGAAGAACAAGGAGGGTACAAAAATACACGCTGGTGGCAAGGCCCTGGAGAGAAACAAACAGAAGTTATTACTCAACACTATGGTAATTAAACTAGTTTAAGAAATAAGTAAGAAGACTTACAGCAAAGACATGGTCATCGAAAAAGAAAAGAAGCCTCCGGAAAACCCCAAACTCATCAAGTAGAGTGACCGGAGGAACAAGTATAACTCGATGAGGTTGCCCCAAGTAGTGCATGAGTTTAAAAAAATACCAATCAACAAGGATCTTCAAATACTTCCACAAGAAGTGCGAAACTCCAGCAACAACTCCTCCTTCACCATCAGCGAGAAACCAACCAGGAAGTCCCCCGACTCTGAAATCTCCTATTTCAATCCTTAAAACACTGAAAAGGAGGATAGAACAAGCGATGACACTGCTGTAAAAGAAGTTAACCCACAGATAAGTCAACATCCGAGACATGAACTCACTCTGGGCTTCAACAACCCATAATTCCCCCCAAGTATGCAAGGAGGCGCAGAATGTGTTGAAGAGAATCACAGCAATCCATAGAACAATCAACTTCAAGTAATGTGCCACTCTCACTAACACTTCAATCACAAACTCGTAACAAGAAAGCCTCTCCGGAGCATTCTCGGAGTAAACTGGAACAAACGAGTAGCTACGCCCACACACCTGCAGTGAAAAATTAAAACGACATCGTTCAAACCCTAATTTTTCCGATTCTTCTTAAACTGCATGCGAATCGTATAAACCTAGAAACTAGCCAAGCTAAATCCCTAAGCCATTCATCTCGAAATCAAAAATCCCTAAGCTCTTAGGTATCAGAGAGAATCTATTCACCTCGCATTTGGTGTTTCCGCGGCGATTGAGCCAGATACGAAGACAATCTTCGTGAACGTACTTGATCGAGCCTCGACACGAGCACGGATACCTTAACGGATTCCCTGGTTCCTCCGGCGATCGACAAATCCGGCACAGGTTTTCGTCTTCTTCTGAGAAACTCTCGTCGTAGCCTTCGATTTCCGGCGAAACGTCCATTTTAGGAAACGCGAAGCTCTTTCTCGTCTCTCTCTAGTCGTCGTCACCTGTGTGTGTGTATTCCTTGAAGCGCCAAAAGCATATGACCTTAAAAACCTTATTTATAAAAAGGAACAATTTAAATAAATAATTACTAATATTGGTGTGATGACTGATGATGACGATTCCTGATGCTTTTTTTGACAGCTACAGTGTAGCTGAGTAAAGAGCGGTGACTTTCTTCGTTGCTTCCTATCAATTTTACTGACTGAGAAAGTTAAATTGCCACTGTTAAAATAATTTTTCTTTCTTTTAACAAACAAGAATTTTGTGTGACCAAAACTCCAGCTTAATTTTAAATAATTGATATTTTAAAATTTCAGTTAAAGTTGAGATATTTTTGCATGTACATTAATTTTGCTTTGTTTATACAGTTATACTCCTATTTGTTTCATAAAAGATCACTTTGAGATTTTCACATAAATTAAGAAAATGATTTTCAAGTTTGTTCTTCCTGTATTTATTTATTCGGGTAAAGATCATTTGTGGATAGTCATGCATCGATTTATCCCCTCTTTTTGAACTTCTTGGGTTGCTAACTTATAAGCCTAATATTACATTCCATCTCAAATAAAAACATAAAATACCAAAAGGAATGTTAGCTTGTTGAGCTTACATTTTGCAGGCCTATTACATTTCCATTTCAAAATCAAAATACTGAAATTCAAAAATTTATAGTGTGGCTGCATGGCCATTTACAGCCATCTCAGATGATGATTTCTGAGCTAATTCTTCCGCATTTAGCTTTCCATTTTCCTCCTTATGGCTTTCATCATCTGAACTGCTTCTATTATTCTCTTCACTTCTTCTCGATTCCTCAGGTTCCTTAGCTGCAGATCCAGTGGTGCCTTGACTTTTCTTACCCGTTAGCACAGCATGGCTCAGGGTCGATGATGTTCCTTGTTCACAACAGCAAACTCCATCATCCTCCTTATGGCTTTCATCATCAGAACTGCTGCTTCTATTATTCTCTTCACTACTTTTGGCTTCCTCAGGTTCCTTAGCTGCATATCCACTGGTGCCTTGACTTTTCTTACCCGTTAGCACTGCATGGCTCAGCGTAGAACACAGCACAGCAAACGCCTTTTTCGAACTTTTACCCAGCCGGGGTTTTTTGGATGGCTCTTGCTCTCTTTCTACCAAAGGGGATTTGCGTTTCAGCGTTAGGAGCTCATCTTCGTCCTCCTCAGTGGCTTCTGGCTGCTTCCGTGGAGGAGGCTTATAGTCTTCATCATCTTCATCGTCCTCATAGTCAACCAAACCTCCAGACCTCGTGCTATATATAGTTGATAGAAGCCCATTAGACAAAGAAACTGCATATGCATTTCATGAATTTTCATTGTGCAACTACTATACCTGGAAGAAGAAGAAGGGCTTGCATCCACTCCATTTGGAAGATGTGGCTTTGCTTGATCTTTCTGTGTATTAGAAGCAGGTTTTTCCGTTTGTGTATTGGAAGCAGATGCAGAATCTTCTTCATCACTGTCAGTACTAAAATGTATCAGACAACGTTTAATCAGAAGAAGAAAAAAAATCACTGTTATAACACCCAGAGATAAACCTGTCTTCATTGAAATAATCTTCTTCCTCTTTATCCAATGCACGCTCCTCAACTCTTCTTCTCGGATCAACCGCATCTTCCGTGCTTTTCGGTCCGGCACTTTCTAAGCACTGAAGACACTTTGTTTTAACGAGTATACATACAGATTTCTCTAAAGTAAAAAAAAAAAATCAAGATCCAGAAGCAAATACCTGTTCATACTTGAGCTTGAAAGCCTGGATGGAGGTCAAGCACTGAAACGAGGCCAACTGGTCCCAGAACATATCAACTATGTATTTCAGCAACAGGGTCACATTATTTCCCTACACATGAAAAAATTGATAACCAATACGATTACAGCTGTAACTAGATACGCAAAGGAGGGAAAAAAAAGAAAAAAAACCTTGCGTATGTGCTCAAGCAGATCCAAGACTGCAGAGTTCAGTAGATTGTACCGGTTCCCATTGGCAATGAAGACATCCATAATCGGTTTCAGAACGTTGTTCTTAACAACGTAATTTTGGACATAATCATCCTGAAATAGAATTATATTTCAACAAATACGTCAATCTATTGTGCTTTTTCGTTAGTCATGATGGAAAATCAATGGTAGCATCAGATGGAGAAGCAAAGGTCAGTTGTCACAAGCAATTTAATTCGTTACAGAAAGTCTATGATGCCTACTACTTGCATCATAGATGTCATGATGGACAATCAATGGTAGCATCAGATGGAGAAGCAAAGGTCAGTTGTCACAAGCAATTTAATTCGTTACAGAAAGTCTATGATGCCTACTACTTGCAAGCATTTGGGGATATGGAACAAAATTATCTAACTACTTAGCAAGAACTATTTCAATATACTCAAATTTTTATATTAGGGAGCGTTCAGGAACTATTTCAGATGACCAATATATAAAAGGTTCAAATAAATGTACTCACGTGCACAGATAGGAGAGTACGAACAAATCGTACAGCAGCAACCACAAGGTATTTTTCTTTTCTCCGTGTGAGATGCAAGACCTTTTCAGTCACGTTGTTTTGGACAAAACTGCATCGGTACACAAGAAGAAATTGCTCAACAAATGGTATCCAGTGGATTCCAGGATGAGAATAAAACTGTGAATAAATATCAAATACGAATACCTCGTTCTAGATGAATCTTGCATGATGCAAAAGCACAACAGTTCACATATGTTCAGTAGGACTTCAGGCTTTGCGCTAATCCTTCCGGCTGCACCTTCAGATGTGCTGCCTGACTTGTCAGGACAAGAGGCAGTAATAACATCTACTAACTCAGGTAGATGCTTCTCGTAGAAAATATCCATGATATTCGCTCTCTGCTAAAATGGAATAAATTAAACAGAAATCAGGATGGCTGGCTGGCTACCAGATTAGAAGAGAAACGTAGCTAAGTTAAACAAAAATTCAGGGCTTTAAAACTTCTAGCAGATAGCTTGAAGAACACTGAATACAACGTAAATGGTAAAAACAAAATTTTAAGTGTCTTCTGCTGATTCATGGACAGGCATGATATTGAACAACTCGGAACTTTTTTCTTAGCAAAGCTTGACTGATTCAAAAGCAGTACGCAAAATAGGGGGAAAATACCGCCACTCTTTTAGATATCAGAAATTGAGGTGTTGATAGTAAACAATGATGTACCTGAACTCCACCAGACAATGCATTTGCATCCAGTAATGTTCGGATGATTTCCAGAAATTGGCAATGCATCTTATCACCAAAGTCTTCCGTCATTCCCTTCACCTGTTACAAAAACAAGAGATACTTATAACTCAAGTCTATAAGCAATACAGAAAAGAACGCAAAAAAAGATATTACCAATTGAATAAACAATCAAAAGGCATACAGAAAATTACCAGGAGACCGAGGAGGGGGGTTCCTTCTGTACGAACAACATAAGAACGTAATAGGTTGGGGTCTTGAGTCAAGAATAGCATCAGGATATCTGCCCTGCCTCCACAACAATAGTTATCTTGAGTATACAGTTTGAAAATTACCTGCAATTTCTTACAGGCACTGGAAAGTGGAAACAGAGTAACCAAAATGAGCTATCAGTTTAATTAATTCTATACCCAGTTAATACGAGTTTTTTGTCTGGAATCTGCAAGACTTCCTCTATGACATGAAAAATCCCTTCATTAATAAGGTCCCTGAAATAACATTGGCAAGATAAACACAGCAATTGAGAAACAGATCACTAAAGACGATTCTCAAAGAAGCATTTAGCAAAGAAAGGGCATTTAGTTTCTGGTGAGTACATACCTAAAAAGACGCAGCTGCTGCACCACTTGGAGGCTCTTGCTTAAACTACAAAATTCGTGCAAGAAATATACCTATTTCATAGAGAATGAATGCACATCAGTCTGACTAATTCTACTGAATAAAATACTATTCTAACGTAGATTTATTGTCGCACGTAGATCATCTCACCACTGAGGCTAGAGAACAGGATCCCAATTAAATGTTAACTGAAATAAGTTTTGTAAATAACATTCACGAATACAAAACAACTGAGGCTTATAATGAAATACACAAACGCCTCTTGAAGGCAGGAAATACCATTTTTTTCTTGGATTCCATAGACGTAGACGGTGACCTCAACCTTGTAAATAGTTCTTGAATAAAAGAGTTATCATCCTTCAGCAAAGAAACAACCTGGAGAAGATACACTTCAGTTAAACAAAAATATGGATGCATTCTTTCATTGTATATATGTGATAGTATTCCCATGGACAACTTACAATGGCATTGTTGGCATGGATTACTGAATTCAAGTTTGCTACAATAGCATCATCTAATACTCTAGCCAAAACAACATCCTATAAAACGTGACAGTAGGTGAGAAGACTAATAATACAATAAAAGGCATGAAAGTTTGAAAAATAACAAATTATGGGATCCAACCTTCAAGTAACCAATTCTGTATGTTTGGTGTATCTTTGACAGGACTAAGGGATCTTTAATTGGTATTGCCTGCAAAAAATAAGGAGCTGTGCTAAAGAATCCAAAAAAAATTCCAGTCATCCTTGATTAATCCCTCTAAAAGTAAAACAAAGTAAATCCCAAAGTATCCATAGTGAGTTCTTACGAAATATTTCAAGTAGGCATCTTATGTTTTTCCTAATATTCCCCGAGTCCAGCCTATGTTAACTGGCCTGAACTACATGAAATCAATAACATAGGGAACACTACGTTACCTCCTTAAAAACGACATGCTCCTTCAGAAAATTCCGGTGATGTTGAGAGTGAGGAACACCAGGGTCGTCTATCAGGAGAATCAACATGCAGCGTCAAATATTGCTAAATATGAGGCAACGGCCAAGAAAAGAGAAAGCAACAGATTGGCTATAATATCTATGGCAGACGAAAACCCTTAAGAACAATTCTACTTGATAAAGCAAGAAACTATCCACCCAATAATCAAAAACATAAGCTATTGATGTCCATTATGACTAAGAACTGAAACCGCAAGAAAATTCTTCGACAGTGTAAGTGCCTACAAGGCCAGTGCTAAAATATACACCTCCACGGAAATAAGGGATCATTTAAGTTCAAACTTACACTCAAGGCATCCGATAATTTCCATGATCAGCTCATCTCCAAATATTTTCTCCAGGATCTGAGAACTGTTGAGCAAAACTGCATACAAAAGATATAAGAAACGCTGGATATCAAGGGAAAATTTCTGAAATGTAGAAGGAAAAAATTGATAATGAGATGTATGTGAATACTAACTGATTCCCTTTACGATATTGAATATCATGTGAAGACCATCAACATTTTCCAATTCCTCACATATTTTAAACACACCCATCAGATTCCGGAAGAAATCATGCTGCACAAAGTGAAATTTTAGTGTTATGGGGTTCCAGACTCTACACCTCAAGACATGATATACTATAACCACTATTATATATATTTAAGAGTTGACACTCAAACTATATCAAAGGACATGTTATTGCTATGGCTTGTAAGTAAAGATAATACTATTGACAGAATTAGAGGAAAATATAAGCGAGGGATAAGATTTCTCAGAGAGAGTGCACGCTCAAATATCATACTAAATTAACTGGCATTCTGGCAAGGACAAGAAATACTTGATAACTTACATCCTTCAATATAATTTCAGTAAGACGGATCTGATCTGTAATGCCACTTTCTGTAACAATCTGCAAGGAAGATGGACAGAAAAAACGAAAAACCCATAAATCACCACGTAAGGAAAATCAATAAAACATAGGGCACTAGAATCTTAAAAACCTTCAGAATTAGAGGAAGTGTAGTAAGCTCTACAGCAGGAAGCTCCTTCAATTCACTATTGAGGCTGTGAAATGTTTCACCTGCTCATTACATAATCAGAAGTTACTACAAGAAAACTAATATAAATACTCCAGACGGAAATTCTTACTGTTCAGAGAGCTAAAATGCAAATTCCGTTGCATAGTGCAGATCTGATCCCTGAATATTACAAATACAATAACTCCAGTCAAGAGTGCTGGGAGATATAGAAATGAAGGAAGAAAAGAAAGAGATAATGGGAAAAAATTCTTCACTAACCATACATAAGAGCACCCCGCAGTCTCTTGAAAACTCAAAGCCAATTCGGTTGAGCGCTCTGGGTCTCTCCATGAAATTATTGTGTCTGTACATTAACAAAATACCACTTTATCATCAAAAACAAACAGAAACCCCATAGATAGCATAGCTAATAAAGACAAGAAGAACAAAGGCTAACCTTCTTGCTTCCTGTAAATATCATCAGTGTTGATCGGATGCACAAGTAACGTTTCGTTATCTTCTTCATCGATCACACATAGACTGAGTTCTTCAGAACGCTGCATCACACATCATTTCAATTTAGCAACAAATTCTTTAGCAGAATACAAACAGCAAGAGGAAGGAAATCAAGGAAGTAAAATTAAAATCACAACAAACCTCCACATAGTCGATGCTTACATGCCCAGTTCCTCGATCATCCCATTTACCATCTTCATTCAAATGATAAACCTTCACTCTCTGAAAAAAAACAATTGATACAACAACAAAAAAGCATATACTTTCTCTCAATTCTCATTATCAATCAATCTTAGTAACGATTCAAATATCAAATCCAATCTATTTGGTGCTCTTATCAATTAAATTGCACAGTGACTTGCTAGGTAACCACCAATTCTTCAATAAAAACACACAGCTACGAAGCAGGGAGCATCATAACACTAACAATTAAGGGAACAAAATTAAGTTCTCTTACTAATCAAGTGACCTAAACAAGTAACCAAAAGCGAGAGAGTCGAGAGACACACACACACCTGCAACGAATTGGAATTAGATTGCTGCGACTTCTCCGGAGCGCCCATCACTGATTTCTCCACCTCCAACACCAAATCGAGCCGAGAAAAGTGAAGATACAGACGCAGAAGCTAAGTTAGGGTTTTTGGAGCAGGGAAGAATAATTAGACGCCGGCTGTAGAAGCGGGAGATTCAGCTCTCGAAATCGAACAGGAAACCCTAACCACCATACGATATTCTCTCTCTCTCTATAACTTTTTTTATTTTTCTTCTGCGAAAAAGCTTTCCCCAACCTTCGAAACGCGACAGAGGAGAGAAGAAAGGGAGAAGAAAAGAAAAATAATTATTAAGCAGTGGAAAATATTATAATCTGGATATGTTATGCGGATATTCCATTAATACCCTCAGCAACCACCGATATTCACTGAAAAGCTATTATACGATGACACGCGCTCTCTTCTCGCGAGTCAGCTTGCTTTCGTTAAAAACGACAGGCTGTGACGTAGGAGAATGAAAGAAGAAACGTTTTGTCTGTTATAAAACGCGTTCAATCCACTTAGAAGACGCCAGGTGGGATTTTGGCAGTTCGGGTCTGTGAGATTAGTGATGTGGTCTGAAAGTAGGTTATATGGTCAACTAAATACCCACGTGGCTTTAGGTTGTTGGTAGAGCTATCCCAAAAGCGCAATAAGACGAGCTTTGTATACTTTGTGAATAATAGATACTCTGTTACGAATCACTCATTATTTAAAGCCTATTGGGCCTGGGCTTCCGTGGTTTTATTTTTCGGAGAGACGACTTCAATACAGTGTGTGTGATCTTCGTGTAAGAAGAGAGGAACTGACGAAATTACTCGCCATAGTTATAGCTAATTATTAGTACAGAACTACAGATTGTTTCTTAAATTATTGTAGAAATGTTTGCACTGATTCAGCAAATTGAACTTTGAGACCATTTGTTAGATTCTAAAACCCCAAGTGTATCTTACAATCACTTGTGCAAATGAAAATTCAACATTTCATGTAGTTGATGTCAATACTGTAATACCATTCGCAAGATAGACAACACATGACTATATGTAGTTTTCAGATTCCAATTCTAAGTAATTCGACGTGAACAATTAAACGAGCTAAATCAAATCAAGAAATGAAACTTATAAAATTTAAAATCTCTGATATTAAATTAAATCCAGGATTAAAAGAGTACAGAAAACCATTTGCGGAAACATAAAATCAAACGAAAAAAAGATTCTCTACTAAAAGAGTCTCAGAGGGAAGAATGAAGAAGCTTATTATTCAGCGGTGGCATTCTCGCCGCTCTTGACGTTGTGCTTCCTTGCGTACCTCTGGTTCCTCAAGAACTTAGGGTCCATCTGTAACATTTTATCAAAGCAAAAAAATTAAACACTCAAAACTAATAATCAACATCTCAATAGTTAGTTTTAAAATTTTTATAAAGACTTTACCCCTCTGGTGGGAGTGTGACGGTGCCTCCTTGGCTTCTTGATTCCGTTCTTGTGGGCCTTAGCCGACTGGTTATGCGCCGTGTGATTCTTCGACTTGGCCATTTCTACAAACACGAAGCTATTCAATCAGACAACCGAAGGATATGAGACAAAGCAGTCGACGGTATAGAAGAAGAAGCTAACCTGTGTAGGGAAGATAGAAGAGAGATCTCTACTCGGCGATACAAATACGGCCACAGAAACAAAACCCTAATCCATTTATTGAATTTATAGTAACATTTAAATGACTAAAGTACCCTAACTGATCGTAATAACCCAAAACAAATAGACGGCCCATTTTGATTCATATAAAAGCCCATGTAATGAGCCGAAAATAAGTTCAGACAGTAATTATTGTCTAGGAAAAAGAAAGTACAGTGTGTCGGAATGAAAAACGCATTGTTTTGCTATTGCCTTATCATCTAAAACCCCATCGAGAATTAAAAAGAAGAAAAACCTTGAAAATGGCTCTTGTTCAATCCAGAACTCTTCCTCACCTCAACGTCCCCTTGTCGCCGATTCTATCCACTCTCCACGCTCCGTCGTCTCTCTCTCTCCGGAGGGAAATTCGCCCGGTGAACTCGTCGTTCTTATCCTCTACTGCCGGGAACTTGTCATACTCGCCGCTGACGCATCCGAGGAAGGTTCTTTGCCCTCCACCTCGTGGCAAGTTTGTTAGAGAAGATTATCTTGTGGTACTTACAGGCTCTTGTCTCCATAATTGTTCAATTTTGAATCTTATAGTTGATGGGGCCTCACTGCTCATGGCATGTTTTTGTTTTCTTTATTGGTTTTGACAGAGGAAATTGTCAGCTCAAGAACTTCAAGAACTGGTGAAAGGAGAGAGGAAGGTTCCGTTGATTGTTGATTTTTATGCTACTTGGTGTGGACCTTGTATCTTGATGGCTCAGGAACTCGAAATGGTACCCCCATTGTTTGTCATCCCCTCACCTCTAGTAGTGTTATGCATTTAGAAACGTTTGGCTCTAGGAACCGGTTGTTCGTTATGTTTATTTAACTCTTGGAATGTGATATAAGGTTTTGCTTGTTTAAGCATAGTGCAGAGTTATTGTAACTAGATTATGGGTTGAGCAGTGAATTGTATTTGTAGCCTTTCCAGCTCAATCTTTATAGAGAAACTATAAAAATGCATTAGGTCTCGCATATTCTTTATTTGTCTATGGTATTGGTTTGGCCGTTTGGGCATTGCTTAAGAGTTTAGAGAGTCTTCTCGTGAATCAAGTCTATTCAATTGGTGTAGTTCTTTGGTGAGTTTAGTAGAAAAATCCCTGTTCCAACCAGTGTTTTCACTAACATCCCTTATGGTATAGATATCTTGTCGTGAAGTTGGCATGTTTTTGTTTTCAAAAGATATTATTCTTTGACTGTCCTCTATCTATTTTGCAAATCTCGGTACAGATGTGTTGGATAATGTTGCTCTTTGTGAAACAGCTTGCAGTGGAGTACGAGAGCAATGCAATGATTGTGAAAGTTGATACAGATGATGAGTATGAATTTGCACGCGACATGCAGGTAACTCTTACTCTCACCTCCTATTTTCTTTTCATCAGTCTGCTCTCAGCGTGTCAAATGTAATTCGTTACAGTGAGCAAATCTTGATATGAATGCAGGTTCGGGGATTACCTACATTGTTCTTCATCAGTCCTGACCCAAGCAAAGATGCAATAAGGACAGAAGGGATGATTCCAATACAGATGATGCGTGACATCATTGACAACGACATGTGAAGTCTTGTACTGAGGAAACACTTTCTGGCTTTAGGATTAAATAGAATCGCGGAATATAGGATCTTGTTACCGAGTTTATTGGGCATTTTGAGAATGTCATCTAGGTTTCATGGATGAATAATGAAAATGTAAAACGGGATGAATGTAACCTAAAGTAAGAATCTTTTTATTATGCAGTGTTGGGTTTTGGTGCGGCCTTTGTAACTTTGAACTCTCTTTTATCAACAAGCTTTTGTCAGAGCCCAGATAAGGTAAGGAAAAGCTTTAAAAGGCAGGAAAAAGCCTACAGGCTACAGATAAAAAGCTACAAAGTAGTAGTACTAAAAAGTCAAACCCCACTTAAAGTCCTTTTAATTTTAGATTCTTAAAATGAGCCTCTAGTTTTCAGTAGATGCAGTTGACTGGTTCGGTATTTTGATTTGATCACGGTTACTCTCTCATCAATTCATTAACGGAGAGTGAAATTGGTACAGTGGTGAAGATTAAAAACAGAATTAATCCAAGATAGTCATCTATATCAATGCCAGTGACAAAAAAAAAGTCATCTATCTCAATGCAACAAAGAACAAACATACAAACTAATCTGTGTACCAGATTATACCGTATTCATGTTGGATCGAGATTGGTTGGACCATAGGAAACCCATAACTCGCACGTGCTAACCAGCTAACATTTTCACATTTTCTCTAGGAGACGCATAACTAAAGTTAAATCTTAAAAGGCAATCTTAAAGAGGAAAAAAGTTGAAAAAGAAGAAGATATGACGTTTATTATTTATTTAATTAACTCGGTTTTTATGAGCATTGTAAATATTTTATTTTGTTATCGAACAAGTGAATATAAAATGTATTGCGTCATGAGTCATGACTCATGACATGATTCATGACTCTTAGAACGCATGATTAAGAGAAAGAAACGTAATTCGTTAGTTTAATAGATAACCTTACCGACAAAATAGGGCAAAGTGAAATTAGTTGACTCTCATGCTCTTCCTTATTTACAGAGTAACTCAAACTCACTTTAAGCCACACACACAACAAAAAGTTCTTATTCTTTAGTAAGTAAAACTTTTATAAATAACTTTTTTTGCTTATATATAGATTCTTAACAACGAGTAATTATAATGTTAACTACAAATTGTCAACACAAAGTAAAAAAATAGTAGTAGCATAGTTAAAAAGGTAAAAGATAATCATCTCATCATTCACACAAAACAAAGTAAGACGGAGAACAGAACAACAAAGAGAAGAGAACCCATTAAACGATCCGATCCAGAATCTCCCGGGGGAGGAGTGTGATAGTAAAACGGAAAATAAGGAACGATGGGATTCGGCGGAGGCGGCGTCGGGAAGTTACCGTAAGAAGCAGGCGGGTAATAGTAACTTTGTCCACCGTCTCCATAGCCTCCGTACGGAGGAGGGTATTTACCACCACCAGAGCTTGAAGGAGGAGGATAATAATAAGAGCCGCCGCTGCCGGAGCTCGAAGGAGTACGAGGAGGAGGAGGAGAATAATAAGAGCCACCGCCACCGCTGGAGCTTGGAGGAGTAGGGGGCGGAGGAGAAGACGGGACAGGGTTACATGGATTGTCGCAAGAGGTACACATTGTGCAAGAAACAGTTTGGTCTTTTGACGTAGCACGGAGAGACAGTGACAGTAGCAGGAGTGTAAGAAGAGCTGACACGTTAGAGAATCTGGTTGCTTCCATTGTCAGAAGTTTTGCTGTCGACAAATGAGCGAAAGATTAGGAAGATTAAAGATCAAGTGATAAGGATGAAAGAGGATGTAAGGTTAAGGGATAGAGAGAAGAACAAAGCACATTCAGAGGCTCAGAGTAGAAGTGTGCCATCTCTTTATTTAAAAGTGTTTTTTCTTTTTAATATTTATTATTTTTTATATATTGAAAAGTTATATTTATTACTATTTTCTATATTTCAATTTCTTATAGCCTCTACAATTTATAGGTAAATGACTCTTTTTTTTTTGGGAGCAAAAGTAGGTAAATGACTATATATGTTGTAATGGTCAATCAAATCTTTAATAGATACTATCATATTAAAGATTTGATTGCATGCATTTTTGCATCACCTAGCAATAAAATGATTATCAACTTATATGACAATGTAAAGAGTAGTGATCTTAACGTAAAGTGACATTGCATCACCAATATTTTTGATGCTATTGCATCATTTGAAGTACAATTTACAATCCTGTACAAGACTATTCTTGACCTAGTATCTTTTGTTGCACTTCATATTCAAAACATGTTTTGATCCAAAATGATTACAACAAACGTGTTTTGATCCAATAAATTAGATAAACGGGAACTGGCTTGGGGTTTCATTTTAGCTCTTCTAATAATCGATAGTTGATACGTGAGACATAGCTGGACGAATTTTGGAACTAAGTAAAATTAGGTATTCTAATACAATTATATAAGGTAGTTGTGATAGCCAACCTATAGGCCCGGGGGAAGTCGGCACCCTATATTGATGTAAAAGGTATTCAGTTAACATATAAAGTTACACTGATGCAAAAGGATCCGTGTCATCATCGTGTAACAAAATAGCAACAGAAATTAATTGCATTTAAGAAAAAGTCTTCCAAATTTGCACAAGTGACAGAGACAAAATTGAATTTTGCTTTTGAAGGGTTTCCATTACTTATCTTATGTAATGTGAATGTGGGTTGAAGTGATTTGAAACTTTGAAAATGAAAGAAAGAGAGAATATAACAAAACAACAAAGGCAAAGGGGGACAAAGATCTATATGTGTTGGCTGCCAAAATGTAAATCAGATTCTTCCTTGTTTGTTTTATAAAGAAGTTGATGAGTAATGACACCACTTTATCCCCTTCCCTCACATGCAACATCTTTTCTATACTTTAATTTCTTACAGGTTTGGAGATGACTCATGTCGCACTCGAGTTTTAAATCATAGTAGAAGAATAATTCGTCTATGAATCCGCGGATCATCTATTACAATAATGCAATTTTATCAAGGCAATTATCCACCTTCGGACCTTACATCACATAATTAAACATAAAGCAGATTATCACTAGAGTTATGTAAATTTGTAACATTAAACTATACCGAATTTAAAGTTATAAAAATTAGTTTCAAATGAGCAAAAATATTTTATATAATTTATATACAACTCCAATTATGTTTTATCCTCGATATAATTTGGTTTCACACAGTTTTCTAAAATAATTATTTTTGATTATTCATTTCAGTATAATTGAAATAGTTTTTGTCAGAACATAAAATAATTCGATAAACTGACAGAATTCATCTCATAGCAGAATCCTCCAATTTGCAAGGAGGCTAAAGTATTATATAACCTGACAGAAATCCAATAAAACAAAAAAATTAATTACTAATCAATTAATCAAAGCAGTTCATTTTCTAAAATTTACGTAGTTATAATAAATGTGGCAGTTTCTTTATTCCTTCAGACAGGAGTTTGTGGTAGTCCGAAGCCACACGTGTGAAGCATAGATACAGCGAAACCACCTTTCTTGTAATGTTCGGTCCAATCGAAACCAAACCGCGTGAAACGACTGTTATTAAACGGGGCAAAACTTTAAAGAACAGTAAAACCAGAGGGTATAACCGGTAAATACTGTTATGTGTTCCTTCTTGTGTCTTTCCTTCCGAACTTGTAGTTCGGTAATAAGTCTCTGGCTTCCACTCTCTCTCTCTCTCCATCTCCTTTCATTGTGTTCTTCTTCCCCCTTCTCTTCTCTCTCTCTCTCTCCCGTCTTTCTAGGGTTTCGTTTATCTCAATTCATCTTTCTTTCTTTTTTTTTTTTTTGTAAAAGAAAAATCTGTAAGAAGCAGAGGAAATGGATTCTTCCAATTCATGGATCAATTGTCCTTCCGTTTTCTCATCCTCTTCTTCTGCTTCCCGACGATGTCAATCCCGATCAGGTTAGTTTCGATCGTGTTTTCTTTTTTAATATTATTATTATTATTATTAGTCTTCGTGAGATTGATCTGTTGAATTTTGTGAGTGGCAGATTTGTATATAGGTGGAGGGTACGAGGATCTTGAAGGAGAAGACGATTTGAAATCAGAGTTTATCTGCCCGTTTTGCGCAGAAGTCTTTGACATCGTTGGGCTCTGTTGTCACATTGATGAAGAGCATCCTGTTGAGGCCAAGAACGGGGTAATTAAATTAACCATCATTAATCAAACCCTTCTTTAGCTTTGTCTGATTCTTAGGTTTGGTTAGGTATTAGCTTTTAGTTTTGTTCAGGTTGTTACAAATCTTGGTTTCTTATTTAGAAAGTTTGCTTGCAAATCGAAAGTGTTTTTTTTTTTTTAAATGTTCTGTTCTTGGTGATGATGAAATGCTCTGCATACCTCTTGTTTCTTCTTATCAGATGAGCTCATTTATCAGCCTTATGAATACATTCTTGGAATAATTCGTTATATTTGAGTATTCGTCATTAGCTGGTAATCGGTAAAGTAGTGATCTTTTCATGATCTGGATGCTACTCATCTTATTTTTTTTTTCACTTAAACATGGCGTTGAAAAAAAATGTGATTTTGTTTTTCTCGCAGGTCTGTCCTGTATGCACAAAGAGGGTGGGGTTGGATATCGTTGGCCATATCACTACACAACATGCGAACTTTTTCAAGATATCCTTTCAAAACTTTTGATGTTTAGTCTTTTCTTATTACAAATACATGAGCTTGGCTCTGTCTGTAGCTTTAGTTCTATTAAACGTAACCATTTTGTAGAAGGTAGAGTGTACTTGTTAATTCCTTGACTAGAGATTCTACGTTCAGCGAAGGAGAAGGTTGAGAAAAGGTGGATACAGCTCTGCTTATCTCGCATTAAAGAAAGAGCTTCGAGAAGCAAACTTACAGTCACTTCTTGGTGGATCTTCAAGTTTCACTTCTTCAACCAATATAGATTCTGATCCGTTGCTGTCATCTTTTATGTTTAATCCTCCTTCAGCTAATGAGTCTGCAAACAAATCTGCTACACTTGTCAAGGAAGGAGCCTTAGCTACAAAAGTCTCGCAGAAAGAATCTCTCAAAAGGTATGTGTATTGACCCTTTTGCCCCAAGAATGCAAGCAAGAAGGCTTGTTTCTTACTTGGTCTTTGGATTTAACTTGTGCAGAGACATTCGAGAAGTTCCACTTACAGGTGAAGATCGAGAGAAGGCGAAGAAGAGCGAGTTTGTGAGAGGTTTGTTCTTGTCAACCATGCTTGGTGATGATTACTAATCAAGTCTACTCGCCTTTGTTTGTGGGTGGTTTATGAGAAAGTGAGCAATCTTGTGAGGTTAAAAATTGTTAGAGTGGTCTCAGTGTATGATGGAAAAGCTTGTAAGTTTACATATATTACTGTCATCGTATCTTCGAACCTCTAGATTTGAATAAAAACATTTAACACGTTTTGGGAAAAAAAGACGAGAGTATAGTTTGTAGGAGTTTTTGGATTACAGATGAACGAAGAAAATGAACATGTACACAGTACATACTTCTCATCTCACAATATTCCAAGAAAAAAATTGAATTTTGATTGGATGAATCCTAGAAAGTGTTATTTGTTCAGACAATAGCTCTATCAAAAGCACTGCCAAGAACCAAGATCATAGCCAGAGTTGACAACATAGGAGCATTGTCAAGAGCTAAAAGATCAGAACCAAATTTATTACAATCTTTTTTCATTCATCTTAACTATTTTATTAATTATTATTTTTCCAAATAATTTGACAATAATTATTATAAAAATACAAAATAATTTATTTTAAAATGTTTTATCATATTTTTTTACATTTTCTTTTACTCTTTCAAACTATTTCACTAATAATATTTATACTAATAATTTGACGCTATTTATTTTACGTGTTAACTATAATAATATTATATATTGAATGAAATTATTTCTTTAGTACAAAAGTTCAAACTGAATAACAAAGAATTATTATTTTTTGTTTACATAATGAGTTGAACACGGTCATTTATACATATGTTTATATATATTTAGGTTTTTTCAATTTAAAATTAAATTTTGTTTGTATATTATAAATATTCAAACAAGATTCAAATCGGATTCTTCCGGGTTCAAATAGATTCATAAAAATTTTAAAATATCTAAATATTTGTATATTTAAAAATATTATTAAAAAAAAAGTAAAAACTAAAAGCCCAAGTCAAACTCTAGTACTATTTACTTGAATGTAAATTGGGATGATTAAAATTCTTCTAAATAAAATTGGGCTTTAACAGAGTACGGGCCAAACATGAGTAATACAGCCCAGATATTGGGTCTTCCAATAGAATCAATAGATCATAGGTCCCATCTAGTCACGTTTTGTTTTTACTACGACACGTGGCATACCTCTTCAACGCGCAAACCAGTTACGTGTCCCAAAAGATCCGCCTCCCTCGGATCCGAATCAGGTTCTTATAAACCCGAAACGTTTACCGGCAAGTCGTGCAAATCCCTAATTCCAAAGGAAACAAGATCATGGAGCTCTCTCTAATCGCTGAAACAGTCTCGGTTTGCACGGTTAAGCAAAGCATAGCGTTTGGGAGCTCTCTTCTTCTCAATCACATTTCGTTCGCCGATTCCTCCTCCGTCGATCAATCTCCTCCAGCTGGAATCGTTCAAGCATCGTCGTCGGCGGTCGTGATCTTCCCCGTCGACGCAATCGCTCCTTCGCCGGTTAGATCCAGCTCTTACAAGACGATCCGCAGGATCCGCAAAAGGAGACGCACGAAGCGCGTTTCGTACGGTGGCGATTCGGAAGACGGAGGAGATTTTGGGCGGTTTTTGTTGGAAGGCGGGTTTGGTGGTGGAGGCGGTGGAAAGGGATGGAATTACGGTGGTGGTGGCGGTGGCGGTGGTGGGAATTGGGATGATTCGTCGTCGTCGTCTGGGTCATGGTCGGATCCGGCGATGGGGTTTGTGTACGAAGTGATTTGTTGGATCGCGTTGTCGAATTGTGTGCATTTTGCGTTTAAAAGGATTGTGAGGATTGTGACGGATGGTGAGAGGGAGAAGCTGAACCTGACATTGTCTTCTGTCTGCTGACAAATTCGTTGTTAGGGTGCAGTTATGTGTTGGAAAGTTATTAATTTCAGCTTCAGTTCCATCTAATGATCTCTCGTGTGTATATATATATATTTATAGTCAATGTACATATATATTTCATTTGGTTTGTAATCTACCTTAGATTCTCTGTGATTTCTTCTGCTTAGAATGGTGAATGATAATAACTATGATAGTACTGTGGATAATTGATAATTCTCTGACATGTTGAGAGAGAGTTTTAAGACATGAAGCAACTCCACTACAGATGCATGGTTGTTCATGTAAGATAATAACTATGGTTTATGTATTAATAAGCATTGCGCTTTGTTTAATTATCCAGAGCTTGATGAGCCAAGGATGATAGTTGTTGATTTTGGTTCCAGTTCTGTGATGTTGGCTCTCTCCTCTCCACCTTCCTGGACCTAGGCCTGGCGCTGTTCACTGAACCTTTATTGTGTACAAGTCACCTGAACATCAGCAGAACAAAATTGGTTTATATGATAAGCTTTATATCTCTCACAATATCCCAATCATTCAGATGGGAATACAAAAGCATTACAAAACCTTCATACTCTTTGTTGGGTAAATCAAGATAGGCATCTGGTGGGACCAAGAGAACAACACCAGGCAATCCTGAAGAATCACACAACTCTTGGATTAGGTATCAAGCAAAAGGTCATCAAGTTCCAAACCTAGACATTGATAGATACTAATAAAGGGATTTAAGATAGAACACTATCAATAGAAGTTTCTAACTTTAAGCAATTCAAGTGACTGAACCATTCAACAGAGAACAAGACCAGAAGGATAATATTAAAAACCATTCCACAGTTGGCATTCATAGAACAGCGAAGAATCACACTGACAAAAGAGAAAAGTTTCTTCTAAAGACCATTCCTTGACTTGAGATTTTACGTTCAGCGAAGGAGGAGGTTGAGAAAAGGTGGATACAGCTCTGCTTATCTCGCCTTGAAGAAAGAGCTTCGTGAAGCAAACTTACAGTCACTTCTTGGTGGATCCTCAAGTTTCACTTCTTCAACCAATATAGATTCTGATCCGTTGCTGTCATCTTTTATGTTTAATCCTCCTTCAGCTAATGAGTCTGCAAACAAATCTGCTACACTTGTCAAGGAAGGAGCCTTAGCTACAAAAGTCTCGCAGAAAGAATCTCTCAAAAGGTATGTGTATTGACCCTTTTTCCCCAAGAATGCAAGCAAGAAGGCTTGTTTCTTACTTGGTCTTTGGATTTAACTTGTGCAGAGACATTCGAGAAGCACCACTTTCAGGTGAAGATCGAGAGAAGGCGAAGAAGAGCGAGTTTGTGCGAGGTTTGTTCTTGTCAACCATGCTTGGTGATGATTACTAGTCAAGACTACTCGCCTTTGTTTGTGGGTGGTTTATGAGAAAGTGAGCAATCTTGTGAGGTTAAAAATTGTTAGAGTGGTCTCAGTGTATGATGGAAAAGCTTGTAAGGTTACATATATTACTGTCATCGTATCTTCGAACCTCTAGATTTGAATAAAAACATTTAACACGTTTTGGGAAAAGGACAAGAGAGTATAGTTTGTAGGAGTTTTTGGATTACAGATGAACGAAGAAAATGAACATGTACACAGTAGACTTCTCATCTCACAGTATTCCAAGAAGAAAAAAAATGAATTTTGATTGGATGAATCCTAGAAAGTGTTATTTGTTCAGACAATAGCTCTATCAAAAGCACTGCCAAGAACCAAGATCATAGCCAGAGTTGACAACATAGGAGCATTGTCAAGAGCTAAGATCAGAACCAAATTTATTACAATCTTTTTTCATTCATCTTAACTATTTTATTAATTATTATTTTTCCAAATAATTTGACAATAATTATTATAAAAATACAAAATAATTTCTTTTAAAATGTTTTATCATATTTTTTTACATTTTCTTTTACTCTTTCAAATATTTCACTAATAATATTTATACTAATAATTTGACACTATTTATTTTACGTGTTAACTTCAATAATTTTATATATTGAATGAAATTATTTCTTTAGTGCAAAAGTTCAAACTGAATAACAAAGAATTATTATTTTTTGTTTACATAATCAGTTGAACACGGTCATTTATACATATGTTTATATATATTAAGGTTTTTTTAATTTAAAATTAAATTTTGTTTGTATATTATAAATATTCAAACAAGATTCAAATCGGATTCTTCCGGGTTCGAATAGATTCATAAAAATTTTAAAATATCTAGATATTTATATATTTAAAAATATTATTAAAAAAAAAAGTAAAAACTAAAAGCCCAAGTCAAACTCTAGTACTATTTACTTGAATGTATATTGGGATGATTAAATTTTTCCTAAACATAATTGGGCTTTAACAGAGTACGGGCCAAACATGAGTAATACAGCCCAGATATTAGGTCTTCCAATAGAATCAATAAATCATAGGTCCCATCTAGTCACGTTTTGTTTTTTTTCTACGACACGTGGCATACCTCTTCAACGCGCAAACCAGTTACGTGTCCCAAATGATCCGCCTCCCTCGGATCCGAATCAGGTTCTTATAACCCGAAACGTTTACCGGCAAGTCGTGCAAATCCCTAATTCCAAAGGAAATCAAGATCATGGAGCTCTCTCTAATCGCTGAAACAGTCTCGGTTTGCACGGTTAAGCAAAGCATAGCGTTTGGGAGCTCTCTTCTTCTCAATCACATTTCGTTCGCCGATTCCTCCTCCGTCGATCAATCTCCTCCAGCTGGAATCGTTCAAGCATCGTCGTCGTCGGTCGTGATCTTCCCCGTCGACGCAATCGCTCCTTCGCCGGTTAGATCCAGCTCTTACAAGACGATCCGCAGGATCCGTAAAAGGAGACGCACGAAGCGCGTTTCGTACGGTGGCGATTCGGAAGACGGAGGAGATTTTGGGCGGTTTTTGTTGGAAGGAGGGTTCGGTGGTGGCGATGGTCCGTTTGGATTCGGCGGTGGAAAGGGATGGAGCTCTGGTGGTGGTGGTGGTGGTGGGGGAAATTGGGATGATTCGTCGTCGTCGTCTGGGTCATGGTCGGATCCGGCGATGGGGTTTGTGTACGAAGTGATTTGTTGGATCGCGTTGTCGAATTGTGTGCATTTTGCGTTCAAGAGGATTGTGAGGATCGTTACGGATGGTGAAAGGGAGAAGCTGAACCTGACATTGTCTTCGGTTTGCTGACATTCTCATATGTTAGAAAATTCTTAAATTTCAGCTTCAGTACCATCAAATAATCTCTCGTGTGTATATATATTTATAGGCATTGTACATATATGTATTTCATTTGGTTTGCAATCTAATGATGAATGAATGGTACTGTGGATAATTGATAATTCTCTTAGAAGGTAAACTCATAAGCCTAGTAGACTTCGTTACAGATGCATACTTGTTCATGTAAATAACCCATGGATTTGTGGTGGTTGATTTTGGTTCAAGTTCTGTGTTGGCTCCCTCCCCTCTCCACCTGCATAGTCTCACGGAGCCTATCGTACCTAGGCGTCTGGCACTGTTTAGTGAACCTATACTGTGGCTTGGGTATGACCTTTTTATCCAAGTCACCTTAACATGAGCAGAACAAAATTGGTTTAGATGATAAGCTTATATCTCTCACAATATCCCAACCATTCAGATGCGAATCCAAAAACATTACAAAACCTCCATACTCTTTGTTGGGTAAATCAAGATAGGCATCTGGTAGGACCAAGAGAATACCAGGCAATCCTCAAGAATCACACAACTCTTGGATTATGTATCAAGCAAAAGGTCATTAAGTTCCAAATTTACACACCAGTATCTTCTATAGACGGCAATAATTCAAACAGATTCAACTGAGGACAGTAAGCATTCTCAGAGCAATCAAACTGACAAAAGATAAAAGTTTGTTTGTTATAAAGAAACTCTGGTCCAAACATTCTTTGTTCATGGATCTAAAGTTCTTTCAGAAAGCTTTCTGAAAATCATCCTAATTGATACCTAGGGGGCAATCCTCAAGACATGGAGTATTTTGTTATCAAAAAGAAGATACGTCTTTTTTCTTTGGACAAAAAGAAGATACGTCTTTCTAAGTACAACCCCAAGATTAAAACATTTGATCAAACAGGACATGAGTTGGCAATCATTATCAGTTAAAATGTATTTGAAGATCTCTTCTGAACATGATCTCTTAAAATAGTATTCTATTATATCCCTGCTGACTGGCTTTTTGCTTGTTTCGTCATAATTCAAATCTCTTCAGTTTAAAGAAGACACACTTATTGATTGATATCATCTACAAAATAAAAAATAAATAAACTTATCCAAAGGGTAAGGTTTCCTACTTTCGAAAACTAGTTTTGTTTGTATCTTTGACTCTTTCTGTTCATTCAAATCTCTTTGATTTGTTGTTAAACCTTGAAGATCAGAGAGAGACAGCTAAAAACATGGGGAGTAGCACCGGCGATCTAGTGACACGTGTCCAATCAGCTCATCTGTTCGATCACGATGCCTTGTTCCGTTACGCCGCCGACCACGTCTCCGGTTTTCCGACCAACACATCTCAATTCACCATCTCACAGGTACTCTCGGCCTTCTCCATCCAAAGATCGAAACTTTATCTGATTTGTTCCTCTTCTGGCTATTTCAGTTCGGACATGGACAGTCGAATCCGACCTTTCTGATCTCTGTCGGCTCAGGGAGCTCCTTGAAACGCTACGTTTTGAGGAAGAAGCCTCCTGGGAAGCTCTTGCAATCTGCTCATGCTGTTGACAGAGAGTTTCAGGTATCAAAAATCAAATCTTTAACTCCTGAAAAAAAAAATCACCAATTTAAACGGTTTGAGATGCTGCTTGTAATAGGAATAAAGGTTGATGTTTTTTTGATGTTTGTTTATGTGTCAAATGCTGATATATACGTTTAAATCAATAAAGGTGGATGCTTTTGAATTTTTGATGATTGTTATGTTTCATAACTTATGTGTAGGTGCTTAAGGCTCTTGGTGAGCATACACAGGTCCCTGTTCCTAAAGTCTTCTGCTTATGCAATGACCCTGCTGTTATTGGGACTGCTTTTTACATTATGGAGTTTATGGAAGGAAGAATTTTTATAGATCCCAAGTTACCTGTAAGATGACACTTTTCTACATGTGAAGGTGAATGCTTTTGTAGGTTTAAATGTGACGTGTGTGTGTTTTATTGGTTTTGAATTAGAATGTGGCACCAGAGAGAAGGACTGCGATCTATCGTGCAACCGCCAAAGCCTTAGCTTCTCTTCATTCTGCTGATGTGGATGCGATTGGTCTTGACAAATATGGTCGGCGCGCCAACTACTGCCAAAGACAGGTTAGTGGATTAGTTCAGACTGGTCAGTAGCTTGTTGTCTTCCTGATGCTTATGTGGTGGATATTTAATATTTCAGATAGATAGGTGGTTCAAACAATACTTGGCTTCAACAAGCGAAGGCAAACCTGAAAGGAATCCGAAGATGGTTGAGCTTGTTGATTGGTTACGCAAAAGCATACCTGCTGAAGATTCAACAGGGGCAACATCAGGCCTTGTACATGGAGACTTCCGCATTGACAATCTAGTGTTTCATCCTTCTGAGGTCTGATGACTCTCAAGTCCTTTTGTTTTTTTTTTTAATCCTTGGATAGTCTCGGAGAGCTTATTACCTTAAGCTGCAGGATCGAGTTATCGGAATACTTGACTGGGAATTATCCACGCTTGGAAACCAAATGTGTGATGTTGCATACAGCTGTATGGTAATGATCTATTCACAAAGCGTTTTTCTTTGCTTCCTGCTCTGATATATAAAGTAAATGGTGTTGGCAGCATTACATTGTGAATGTTCAGCTTGATAAGGAGCATGTGAGTGAAGGTCTTGAAACTACTGGCCTTCCAGACGGAATACTTTCAATGCCAGAGTTTCTCTTAGAATACTGTTCCGCACTGGTATGTCCTGCTACCAACAAGTAATGTTTCTATATTGTATGTTGTGTCTTCAAAAGGAAACGAGTCAGCGTTACTTGTAAATTTGCCTATAGGGGAAACCATGGCCTGCTGCAAACTGGAAGTTCTACGTAGCCTTCTCTTTGTTTCGGGCTGCTTCAATCTACACAGGCGTGTACAACAGATGGTTAATGGTATTAAGCCTCTAAACTTTATGTATTGTTAGATACAAATGTCATCAACATTGTACTTGGTCATGCAGGGGAATGCTTCTGCCGGTGAACGTGCCCGGAATACAGGAGCTCAAGCCAATGAGCTTGTAGAGTGTGCCCTGGGTTATATTGCACGCGAGAATGTTCTTCCTCCGCACCCTCCATCTGGTAAAAGAGATGCTAGCCCATCATATGAAAGCCTTGTGGATGCAAGTGGGCGATTCGTTCCCAACAGAAAAGTATTAGAGTTGAGGCAGAGGTTGATCAAGTTTATGGAAACTCACATCTACCCTATGGAGAAAGAGTTCGCCAAACTTGCTCAATCAGATAAGCGATGGACTGTTCACCCTGAGGAGGAAAGGTTAAAGGAGGAGGCAAAGAGACAAGGCCTATGGAACTTGTTTATTCCTGTATATATAATTTATCTTCAAATATTTACTTCTTTTTTACTATGACTGAGAGTGTGTACTTATGGAGTTCTTGGTTCTTGCAGGTAGATAGTGCTGCTAGAGCGAGAAGAGAACTGGCAGCTATTGAGAATAACAGGTCTTTTGAGCAGTTGTTTGGTGAGGGTCTCACGAATCTGGAGTATGGTTACCTTTGTGAGATCATGGGTCGTTCAGTTTGGGCTCCACAGGTTTTCAACTGTGGTGCACCTGATACTGGAAACATGGAGGTGATACTGCGGTATGGAAACAAAGAACAAATTGCTGAATGGCTTATTCCACTGCTTGAAGGAAAGATTCGTTCTGGATTTGCTATGACTGAGCCACAAGTTGCATCTTCTGATGCAACCAATATTGAGTGCTCCATTAGAAGGTTAGAGATTCTCTTTTGGTTCTCTTTATGTTGGAATCTACTTTCATTTGAGTTTAGCAATATCAATGGCGCTATATGCAATCTTCAGTTTCTATACTGATAATTTCCGGAAGACTGAGACTTGAGTCTGCATTACTTCTTATATATGTTGCTTATACAGACAAGGTGATTCATACGTGATCAATGGCACAAAATGGTGGACAAGTGGAGCCATGGATCCCAGGTGCAGAGTCCTTATTCTCATGGTTAGTTCTTTGTTTCTTGCTCTCCTTCTATCTCAGAAAGTAAATCCATTCACAAACGTATTTGTTAATATTATTTACAGGGAAAAACTGATTTCAACGCCCCAAAACATAAGCAACAGTCTATGATACTAGTGGACATGCGGACTCCAGGTATACACGTGAAGAGACCTCTCACAGTGTTTGGTTTTGATGACGCGCCTCATGGACATGCTGAAATTTCTTTTGAGAATGTGATTGTCCCGGCCAAGAATATCCTATTAGGAGAAGGCCGAGGATTCGAGATTGCTCAGGTAACAATACTACACAGATTCAGGGCTTGCAGTAACAGAGAGAGTTAGGAATTTTTATTTATGTGCTGCTTTCATTGTTTGGTGATATCAGGGAAGGTTAGGCCCTGGAAGATTGCACCATTGCATGAGACTAATAGGTGCAGCAGAGCGTGGAATGGAGCTAATGGCTCAAAGAGCTCTTAGTAGAAAGACTTTTGGGATGTTCATAGCGCAGCACGGTTCTTTTGTCTCTGATCTTGCAAAGGTAAACAACACCTGTTTTCCTTTTATCACCTAAATGCGTCTTATGAGTTCTTATATGAGTTCTTGTATGATACAGTTGCGAGTAGAGGTGGAAGGAACCAGATTGTTAGTACTAGAAGCTGCTGATCATCTTGATAAGTTTGGTAACAAAAAAGCTAGAGGAATTCTGGCAATGGCCAAGGTAAAAAAACATGTTATATATATTTGTAAACATGTGATTCTGATTCTGAAGAAGCAAAATCAATTTCGGTTTTCAGGTTGCAGCTCCAAACATGGCGTTGAAGGTACTAGACACGGCTATTCAAGTTCATGGAGCAGCCGGTGTGTGCTCAGATACAGTATTAGCTCATCTGTGGGCCACGGCTAGAACGCTCAGGATTGCTGATGGACCTGACGAGGTTCATCTTGGGACCATTGGCAAGTTAGAGTTACAGAGAGCTTCAAAGCTTT